TTTTTCTGGTCTCTTTGTATTGTTTTTCAGAGTTCTCTTGTGTGTCACTGAGTTGCTTTAAAATCAGCATTTTGAATTCTTGATCTAGGATTTTGTGAATTTCTTTTTGATTGGGATCTGTTGCTGGAGAATTGTGTTCCTTTGTTGGTGTCATATTTCCTTGATTTTTTTTTTTTGTTTGTTTCCTGTGTCCTTACATTGATATCTGCACATCTGGTATAACAATCACTTCTTCCAATTTTTTAAAAATTGCTTTCATAGAGGAGTGTGTGTGTGTGTGTGGAGATGTATACATGTTGGTTGAGTAGGACACTTTGGTCTTGATTGGGAGTTCCTGCAGTAGTATGATCTCTGTATGACTTTAGGCAGTACACAGTGTCAGTGGTATCTTGTGATTTCCTCAGTGGCTTAGGGTGTGGTTATTAGTGAAAGCTTTGGTGAAGTTTTGCTAGGGACTAGGATGCCAGGTGAGCCAGTCTTCAGGCCCCAGTGGTGGCAGCAGTGGTCTGAGTGGGCCTGTTCTTAAGCCCCAGAGCAGCTTACACCGGCACCAGTGTTAATGGGTCTTGGAAGGCCAATTATGCATGTGATTTGTTTGGATGCTGGTAGTAGGATTGGTGGGCCAGGCATGTGGATGGGTTCTCAGGCTCCTGGGCAGCTGGTGTGATGTGGGTGATGGCGGCAGTGGTAGTGGAACAACCTACTGGAACCCAAGTGGTCTGTGCTAGTGTTGGTGTTGGCTGTGCCAGGTTGGGCAGGGTAGTCCCCTCGCCCACTGGTAGTGCATGAGAGTGGGTGTCAGCTGTGATGGTATCGGTAGGCTGGGTCAGCCCAACCTCAGATCCCGGCAGGAGTGATCAGGTGCCAGGGGTGGTGGGCTGGGATGGGCAATTCCCAGCCCCTGGATGGCATGCTTGAGTACTGGGGGCACAGAACCAGGCCAGTAGACTTGTCTTCATGGCCCCTGGTAGTACATTCAGGTGCTGGCTGTGATAGGCAGAGGCAAAGGGGTCCCCAGGCCACTGGCAGAATGCCCAGGTGTGGGCTGTGGTGGCTGTGTTACAGGCCTGCCACGGGGGAGGGCAGGGTCCTTCTCAGCTGGAGCAATGTGGGAAGTAGCTGTGGGGAGTGCAGTTTGCTCACACTTTGGTTTCACTGCAGCCTGTAGCAGCAGTGGTTGGAATTGTCCCGGGGTGTGTGGGAGCACCTGGTCTCCCCTCTTCCTTTCTTGCCCAGTGGCAGCAGCAGCAGCTGTGTCCTCAAGGCAGGACACTGATCCCCAGCAGCCAGGCTCTCAGAATGGCACGATGGTGAGGCGGCTCTGGGCTTGGGCGCCTGGGTGACTCCATACGAATTCCCTTACTGGAGCAGTATCTGTGCAATCTCTAGACAGCTCCCTATGTTAGGGCTGAGGCCCACGTAGGTAAGGCATTCTCCTGTATCTAAGATTGCAAAAGCCCGTGGAGGGAGTGTGGCGTCCTGGGGGTTTCCCTCTTACCCCTTCCCTGCGTCCAGCTTTTCCCAGCTCCCAGCTGAGCAAGTTGCCTCCCTTCGTTCTCCTTACTTGCTTTCGGTGCTTCCTGTCATTTCTCTGTTGAATCCCAGTGTTTTCTCCTAGACAATCTATTCAAAGTGTGAATTATCTACTTAATATTTTGGTTCCTCT